ACCAAGATGTAGCTAGCTTTCTAATGAAATGTTAATTGATGTGGTTATTATTAGCATCAATGTGTTCCATGAACCATACAACCATGAAAATACAAAAGAACCATGCATGCTGTAGCCATAAATATAATGCGACAATTGAATAGGAATGGTTATGTCCTTTTGCAAGAACTAAAGGACCGTACATGTTGGCATCACATGAGAAGTCAGGGCACAGCATATGATGGGTCCTAGACAAGATTGTAATGGGGCAGTTCAGATAGACCAGCCCTTTCTGAACTAGGACAAGATGTGGTTTTCAAGGATCGAAGCTGGTGGGTATACTTGGGTGGAGGACCTTTCTCCTACAAACCCACTGAAGGTAGGGCCCTTGTTAATAGTTCAGTTTGAGCTTTGGACCACAATCTTTTGTGAATCCAGCAATCCTGCATGTGGTAGCTAGAAAGGCTCCATTTATGTTGGCCTCACCATGTGACAAAAGAAACACGGTTTTTGGCATGGAGTCTGATATAGAGCTGACATGGACTGCCAACTGAAATCTTGGCCTGTTCAAAGGGTCACTTGACTAATGGAAGATTTGAATTGGAGGGGGGTCATGCATTAGTCTCCTCATCGAATTCTATGAAATTCTTTTGGAAGGTTTAATTTAAATATTTTGCCTATTATCTATGTATCTAAGGCTCAGTTTGGGAAAAGTTTATAGACAAATATAAGGTTTAGAAATATCATGATATCATACAAGGCTTTGCACTAAATAGACTTATATTTGCAGTCTTCCCAAACGGTTCCTATAAGGAAAATTAATGAAAATTGTGTAACTATAAAGATTATCATGAGTAATGCTTGTTAATAAGCAGCAGCAGCATATTGAAAATTATATAACATATTTGAATACTTAAGCATTCTGTAAAATATAAGACCTCCATCAAATCAGATTAGGAGTGCAGAACGGGCTGGATTAGGTCGGGTTGAGATCAATTCTAACTAACCCAAATGTTGAACTCCAAACCCTAAAACTTCAGGCTGGTCTCAGGTTGGCCCCTCTACCTCTTTTTGAGAAAAATACATATATACATATAGTTGTATATGCATATATCCATGAAAAGTAAATACACATATATATGTGCATACATGAATACATATTTACATAATACTAGCCGGTTGGGTCAGATTCATCAAGGCCTCAATCATAACTCAACTCAAAGTTAAATTGGATTCATACTTTTCAACTCTAAACCTAACCCAAACTTCAACCCAATCCTAGTTTTTCAGGCTGGGTTTAGATTAATCTGGCCCAAATTGCAGTCTTGATCAAATGGAGAACCAATCTAAATGGAGAAGAGACAATTTATAGCTGGCCCAATCCTTCTGATAGTCAGAAGGACAATTTATAGCTCAATGGAGAACCAATCTAAATTATGAACAACAATTAATGCAGAGTGGAATAATAGTAATAAGGATGAAGTACAAAGACTTTCAAGAAATTAGGTAAGGTGGATTAGGTATGGAGTGTGTTCCTTTTTTTTTATTGCACACATTTGAAAGGACTCTAGAGAATAACCCTTTTTTTTCTAATCCATGAAACTTTTCATCATCATATATTTATGACATATACCTAATTGCTTATTATGGGACTACCATTCGATTGTGGATTTCTGTGCCTAAACAATGTTCCAATGAAATGTAGGTAATCAAACCTTCCACCTAATAATGTTGGCCAAAAGTCTCTACTTTAAAGCCAGTAGTTGTGAACTCTCTCTCAAAGGTCTATCCAAGTGCCCTCAAGTTCAGGGATTCTCTATATCATCCATGTCTGCTGTATCCTTGTCTATATTAGCCCATAGAAACCGTGTGTTGTAGTATTCCCCTTTCAGTAATAGCTCTTGAACTTTCCAAAGAATGGAAATGAGTAACTTTTCTGCATGGTAATTTGGTAAAGGACTCAGTGCCAAAGTGGGGAAACTAACCCCTACCCATATCAATAGATCCAAGTTATCCTTGAAAATTCCACAGAACTAATTGTACGGTTGCAAACCCATACTCGATTCATGGGGTTTTTAGACAAAAGAGACCTTTGCCTCGTGTCAAAATCAAACCCTTTTCTGGGCATTTTTCTGCATATAATAATTGAATCTTCAGATAGTTAATATCACTGGTCGAATGGTAGATATAGAGATGAATGTGAACTAAAGGCCATGAACCTTTATCCTATCTATCTAAAGCACTGTTTTCAAAACCGGACCAGACCAGAAAACCGGGAACCGATCACCTGATTGGTTTCGTTTTCCTCTAAAACTGCTTTTTCCCCTAAAACCGTTGATTTTGGTCAGTACCGCTGAACCGGTCGATTAACCATTCAAATAGTTTTTGACCGTTTTCTAATTTTTTATTTTTTGTCAGAATAGACCAGCCATTCAGGTCGAATCATTCGAACCGATAACCAAACCCCTGACCAATTCGATCACCAGTTCGTTTTTAAAAACCATGATCTGAAGCCACATGATGACTGCTTTTGATTGATCGCCATTTCTCAGCATGGCAGAAATAGACTAGTAAGTGTAATAAAGGCCAGTTGAGTAACCGCAAGGCAACAAAGAGGCCAATATAGTGATTTTTTATATCAAGTAGGGATTTCTTTATCAAAGAAAAAATTGGACTTGCACCAAATTCAGATAGTCCCGTTTTTAAATTCACGATTAGTACCGAGTATTTGGTGGATTGAGTCTGGAACCCCAACCCCATACTCATACCAGAACCCGGCAAGAATGAATTGTAAAAATTCACATCAGATGACTGGGACGACACTGGTTTTCTAGGTGGATATTCTTCGAGGCTGTTTTTAGTTTGCAAACCAAACCAAACATAGCCTAAGGTGATATCATTCAGAAATGGGTTCATGATCATAGTTCAAACTTCAAAGTATCCATACGCTTGATACCGAATTTTTCGGTTTTGAGCCACTAAAAGGATCAATATTCTATTCTAGTCAACCACCATCTTGGATCATAGTGAACCTGTCAACCACCATACTGATTTAAGTTATCACCACCATATTGATTTAAGTTATCAGCAGAACACCACTTTTTTTGCAATACAATATGGATCCTTAGGAAATCTCGAAATGAACTAATTTTCAATGGCCAAATTTCCTAATACTAGATCCATTAATCACCAAATCCAATCGGCAGTCTATCATTATACATAAAGGGCAGTCCAGTGTACGAGGTTCCTGCTAATGTGGGGTCTGAAAAGGGAGAGATGTACGCAATCTTATCCTTGTACATATAGTATATGTTTCTGTGAGTCTTTATAGATGAGCCATTTATTGTTTTAAATGTTTAATTATTTGTATAATTTCATTTTAAACATTTATTATTTTTGTTATTTGATTGGACATGACTTCAAACATTTTTTTTTTTACTTTTTGCATCAGATTAACACCCCATAAAAGTGTGCCACATAAGTATTTCATTTCAAGAAATGATGGGGCATTGGGGAAAATAATAATTTGGCGTTTCCCGAAATGTCCCATGCACAAAAATCAAAATGTTTCAGTTTTTTTTGTGTTTATTTGATGAACCATGAAACTAAACAGTAGTTTCATATGCAATAAATGCCAAAGTCTATGTGACACTGATATGGTAGAATTTTTTCAATAAACACCCACGAAACCAAACCTCTCCATAGAGAGGCTGTTTCTAAGATTTGAACCCTAACCGCCCAAGTTACAATGAAGTAACCCAACCATTGTACCAAGGCCCACATACAGATAGTATAGCATTATACATTTTTTTTGGGGGGTCAAAATCTATCATTATACATGGCTCACACTAATGTTAATTCTTCAAGCATTGGCAAGACTTGATGAAATAATGAATGACAACCACCCCTCAACAGATCAAACTAAACAATGATGGAGCAGTTATGTCCTGGGAAAGCTGGTGCTAGAAGATAATTCAAGGCTGCTCTGGAAACTGGAGTATGGGTGGGCTTTACTATCTATGTAGTAAAGCTTGATGAAATAATGAATGACAACCACCCCTCAACACCTGGATCAAACTAAACAATGATGGAACAGTTATGTCCTGGGAAAGCTGGTGCTAGAAGATAATTCAAGGCTGCTCTGGAAACTGGAGTATGGGTGGGCTTTACTATCTATGTAGGCCGTATGACAATGGATGTGGCTGAATTATGGCCGGTCCATCTTGGATAGAATCACATTGTCCTGGGACAGTCACAGAGGATACAGAAACCACATTCTCGAATGGGACTAATTATTCAGGCCCTCATAACTCCAATCTCGGGTTCGACTATGATATGGAAAAGATATGATATAGGAAATTCATGGGTGGGTTTTGATTGGTCAAAATTCTTTCCATACCATACCTTTCCCGTATCATAGATTTTCCCCTCTCATTAATTATTGGAAAGCTACTCTCCTTTTTCATAGTGCTCTTGAACTTCTGAATAGACCTTGGCAAGTCTGGATCACTGTTATCATGAAATGAAGCCAATAGTTGTGCAGACATATTTGCTAGTATAGCTATCTATCAAGAGTATCGTAGTTCCTCTTTTAATTTTCCTCTATGGGATTGTAATGCATCATGCCTTTCTCAGAGTCCGTATTTCTGCGTGATAGTTTGCAATAGTTTTCCTTTAAAATAAAAAATAAACTACAAGTCATGGGGTACCCCAAATTGCAACATGTCAGGTGATGTATATGGTTAATGAGAAAAGATTTAGTGATGTGGACCCGATGCAGATCTTCTAGTCCAGAAAAGAAATTGATTGGATTTCTCCAACCATCAAACAAATGGATTATTTTCAAATAATTCAATCTTGCACTTGGTTCATCCACTTTTTTTCATGCAAGGATTACATATTGAACAGGTTGTATTAGTGAAAATGGGCATAGATTTTATACTTACCATTGGTGTCTTAATTATAGTAGTCCAAAGACTACCAAATGTTAGAAGTACCAAATGAAAACACAAAACTAGGTCTGTACGAAATAATGGATATTATACTTACCATAATACACTCACTTGGCATTTTCTTCCATAAATCTATAAATGCATAAATCATGCTTACACATCAGTTTAAACGAACAATAATGGTATCCCAATGACATGTACATTGTTGTTCTTGGCCCAGCAAATTCAAAGGGAGACTTACACTTTGAACAGAAATTGCACATCAACGAGAGGACCATTTGTTTGAGCAATAAGCCAGGCATCTGCCAAGATTTCTTACATTTACACCAAGCTGGAAAGCAAAAGTTTCCTGATACAATTGCCATAAAAAGCAGGTGGAATGAAGTAACTCATCCATTTGTAGAATTGGAAGAAGAACTGCTGGGATCAGAAGAATCTTTCTTCCACATGGCCTCAATGTTCTCAAAGCACCTTAATGGTCTAACCTGCACACAATAAGGGAGTTCAACAATCATAATCACATTGGTACATATGGACTACTCGTTATCTATTTTACCATAAAAAAGGGTGCACCCATAGTCTATAACAATACCAATTTCTACCAAGATACGCACCACATAACAAGTCATACCCAACTTCCTTGCCATGCCCCAAAATACGTACCAAATAACAAGTCATAACCAACTTCCCCCTACCCCAACCATGCACTAGAACATTAAAGCTCAACCACAAATTCCTATTAAACATGACGCAGGGATTGCTTGTTTCATGATCCCTAATATCTAATCAATTAATCCAATCATGGTCCATAACCTTTTATAACCTGGAAAAGTGGTTTTGAGACCAAACCAAGATGTGAGTCATCTGACTAACAAATTGTAAGTCGAGAATGATGAGTATACAGTCATGTATGCAGTACTAGGAAATACTCTCATTATTACACTATCATACACAAGTGGAATAATCATTTTTTTCTTTCCCAGTTTCAGTGAATTGGATATAGTACAAACCTTCCAACGCCTTTTATGAAAAAGATTATTTATCTCATCCAGTCTGATAATTATTGTTTTGAATGTTGGTCTCTCTGAAGGCTCCTCGCTCCAGCACTCCTCAATTAGCCTGTATACAAAATATTATAATAAAGTTTTTTCAGAAATGAAAATTACCTGTCAAGTTAACCAATGTGATGAGATGAACATGAGAAAATAATTGAAGCAAGCAATCAAGGGTATTCAAAAATGACATTGTGGTCACTTGGAATAGCAGTCTATTTTGAAGTGTGGGTGGTATTGGTCAACTTTCAAGTTGTGCTTTTTTTATCAATAACTCAAGCATTTTATTAATTAAAGTAGGAAGAAAATGTACAGAAAATTAAACACAGACAAAGACTGAAAGATAAAACCTCCTATCTCCCCCAACAACCAATTCCCTTACAATTGTGCCCAGAACAGAGAACCTCTCCCCACCCCCTGTTTGGCTAAGGCTTCTGCTACCGAATTAGCACTTTCTCTCAACCCACCCAACATTTATATCCATTTCTCTTGAGTAGTTAGCCACCTGATTTTCCTCCTCTCATTATTAAAGAGCCACATTTTCATCCCCCCATCTTGTAACCAGCTAATCACCAATTTAGAGCCTCCCTCCACAAATAGCTTGCGAATGTTCATTAGCTTTGCCCTTTGAATGCCCTTCTACTACTGCCAAACACTTCTGCTCTCAGGGAGTCTCCCACCCCAACTGGCCCTCCTCGTCTCTAAATACACCACCAATACCTAATGGTCAAGGATTACCAAAACTGCTACCATCAAAATTAAGCTTAACAAAACCTCTAATTGGTGGTGACCAAAGATAATTGACAACTGGCTTATGAACAGAAGAATCCACCACTTCCTTAGAATTCTAGTGTGTTGCTCGTGATTTCTTATTACCCCTTTCATTGTTATAGTCTTCTATTTTGTTGAGTTGGGTCGATTTCTAGTTATTGGGCCCAGTTATTTATTTCTTATTTTTAAGTTGTTAAGTTAGGAATTTGTTGGGCTTTAGGCCCATTAGTTTATTCTTTTAAGTTGTAACTGTTCAGCTACTTAAGTAGTCGTCCTACTAAGGGCATTCTTGTAATCTCTTGTTCTTTTAATTTGAGTATATAATACAAAGAGAGGTTGGCAGCCATAACTAATTCAATTCTGGTTGACATCCCACTACTTTTCTTCTCCTCTTTTCTTCTCTACTGCTGAAACTCTTCACCTTCTTCTTCTTTCTCTTCACAAGGAATTTATCCAAAACTGCAATTAGTGATTTCTACTTGGTATCAGAGCAGGCCAAAGGTTCCTTGAGTTGTTCTATCATGCGGCCCTAGATCGACCGACTGCATGGTGATTTAAGAGGCTGATCAAAGATCTTAGGTAAGCCCAGTTTTTGGATTTTTGGTGGATTTGTTTGCCCTGTAGCTGGTCTAGGGTTTCCCATCAAAATCAGGAGAAACCGGAGAAAGGGGGAGAGTCATGTTTCTGTTGAACACTTCAATTTTGACCTAGGAAGTGGTGCCCTAATTTTTTAGGGTTCCTTGGAGTTTTCTAAGGGGGGTGGTTCAAGTCCTACCTGTTTTGGAGGTTTCTGGAGAGAGCGGCTGCCTCTTCTCTCTCTTCTCCCGTCCTGCAAAAAAGGAATCTTTTGTGAGATGACCATCTAAGGCACCAAAAGGGTGTTGTTGGTACCAAAAGTGATTTATTTGATATTCTTGCATATTACAGTAACCTTTTATCCCCTTTTTGATAATTATGGAGGGTAACGGAGTTGAAAACAAGCCCGGGAGTGAAATGGAACCAGTGGGAGGAGGTGCCAGAGACCTTTTTGAGGTTGGAACCATTACTACAGTTAAGTTGGATGGTTCAAATTACTTAGAATGGTCACAATCTGCAAAGATGGCCATTGGTGCTCGTGGGAAATTAGGGTATATCACTGGTGAAGAAGTGAAACTCGAAACTAACAGCTCCCAGTGGGTATAGGAAAACTATATAGTGATGACTTGGCTGTGTAATTCGATGCTGCCCCATATAAGTAATTTTTTTTTGTGGGCAAATACAGCTAAGAAAATATGGGATGGGGTTGCAAAAACCTATTCACAGAGGGAGAATGTTGCTAGGACTTCTCAATTGAGAAATCAGATTATTGCTATAAGGCAGGGAGATAGACCTATTGTTGTTTACTTTCCAGCCCTTAAAACCCTGTGGCAGGAGATTGACTATCTGGAGATAGTTGTTTGGGAATCCACTAAGGATGCAACTGCCTATCAAAAACTCCTAGAGAAGTATAGGGTTTTTGGGTTTCTTGCTGGCCTTAATCCCGAGTATGATACTGCACGACAGCACATTCTTTCCAAGGACAGTGTTACTCTCTCCTAGGCATATGCCTTTGTGTCAGGGGAAGAGAGCAAGAGAAATGTGATGATGAAAAATTCTGTTTTTGATCAATCAGCCATGGTTAGCACTGTGAGACCTAAACAAAGTGGAGACTGGGGTGGCAGCGAAGTCAAGAAGGAAGACAAAAAGGATTTGATTTGTGACTACTGTAAGAAGCCTAAACACACAAGAGATACTTGCTGGAAACTTCATCCTCATCTGGTGTCGAATAGACTCAAAAATAAGAAGGGAAATGCTCACATGGTAGTCACTGGTGACATACCGGCCCCTCCCACTGCTACTCTAGAGTCCGTTGCAACTGCTGCAATGAGGGTCAAACTTGAGAGATATGGGCAGTTCCTAAATCAGCGAGATACAGTCGATTCTAATTCAGTAGTAGGTGCACAGCCAAGTACAAGTGGTTCTGGTGAAGCACACTCTACTTCCTTTGCTCAAACAGGTAGATCACATGCCACTGCAAATTATGTTTCGACTACAAGTAAGGAGGGGCCTCGTTGGATTATAGATTCTGGAGCCTCGGAGCACATGACCCATAGTTCCACTATCTTTTCCTCTTACCAGCTCTTTTCTGGCAGAGACAGAGTCTCCACAACTAATGGATCTCATGTTCCCATTGCTGGGAAGAGGTCTGTCAAGATTAATGATTTCATTTCCCTTCCCTCTATTCTTCATGTTCCCAAATTGAGTATTAACCTGTTATTTGTTAGTAGTTTGACTAAGAACCTGAATTGTTCAATAATTTTTTCTCCTGGTCATTGTATTTTGCAGGATCTGGATTCAAAGAGGACGATTGGGAGTGGTCGTGAAGTGAATGGAATCTACCTCCTGGATGTGCTTCCTCCTCATCAAGGTCATCATGTCAGTAGGGATAGTGAGCCAGGGTCTGTGAGTCAGATTATGCTTTGGCATAATCGTTTAGGTCATCTGTCTTTTTCTTCTTTTAGTTTCTTGTTTCCAAAGCTTTTTGAGTCTGTTAATTTGTCAAGTCTGGAGTGTGAAGGTTGTCAACTTGGAAAACATTGTAGACATTCCTTTAAAGCTAGTAATACAAGATGTTCATCTCCTTTTGATGTTATTCGTTCTGATGTGTGGGGACCTTATCATGTTCCTTCTATGGGTGGTTATCAATATTTTCTCTTATTTGTGGATGATTTTTCTCGATATTCTTGGATTTACTTAATGAGATCCCGATATGAGGTACCATCCTTGGTAAGGCAATTTCACTAGATGGTGCTAACAGTTTGGGATGCAAATAAAGGTGTTCAGATCAGACAATGCCAGGGAATATTTTGAAGAATATCTTGCTTCATATCTGTTAGAATATGGTGTTATCCATCAGAGCAGTTGTCCCTACAGTCCACAGTAGAATGGTGTTGCAGAAAGGAAAAACAAGCACATTGTTGAAATTGCAAGAAGCATGATGATCACATCTACAGTTCCAGTTCGTTTTTGGGGTGATGCAGTTCTCACAACAGTCTTTTTGATTAACAAGGTGCCCTCCCGTATACTTGGATTCAGCACCCCATTCAGTCTCCTTTTTTCCTAAGGGGGAAATGCTCCATATTCCTCTCAGAGTGTTTGGGTGTGTTTACTTTGCACATATTCTTGGTCATCATCGTTCGAAGCTTGACCCTAAGGCAAAGAAGTATGTCTTCCTTCAATACGCAGAAAATCAGAAAGGGCACTACTACTATGATCTAGTCTCTGGGAGTCGGTATGTTACTATGAATGTCACCTTTTTTGAGTCCACATCCTTCTTCTCGAAGAATCCTTCTTAGGGGGAGTGTTTTGGGGAAGTGAGTGAGCGGTCTATCCCTCTTCCGGTTCCAGTTCCTATGTCCACTCCTGTGTCTGATCCTCCTATGTCACCTACCTTACCACCTCCCTTACGTCCTACTTCTCAGCGTTACTTACGACAGAGACTTCACAGGGAGGTTGATTCCACTGCAGCAGAACTCACATCACTTCCTGTCGGTTCCTTGGAGACTCCAGATTCAGCTGACACGGATTCAGGTATTCCTCTTGATCCCTCTACTATTTTAGTTTCCATTGATTCTACTAATCCCATTATAGATAACCCGGACCTTCCTATTGCTCTCAGAAAAGGGAAGAGAAAGTGTATTGCTCATTGTATTTCACAATATTTATCCTACAATGGACTTTCTCCTTCCTACCGTGCTTTCCTTTCCTCTCTTGACTCTGTATCTATACCGAAGAGTGTTAGTGAGGCTCTCTCCAAACCTGAGTGGAAGACAGCTATGCAAGAAGAGATGGAAGCCTTAATTAAGAATCAAACCTGGGAGATTGTGGATCTACCTGAGGGCAAGGAGACTGTTGGATGCAGATGGGTTTACACAGTCAAATATAAGGCAGATGGAAGTATAGAAAGGTATAAGGCCAGACTTATTGCAAAATGGTACACACAGACCTATGGCATTGATTACTTAGAAACCTTTGCACCAGTTGCAAAGATGACTTCTGTTCGGATACTTCTTTCTCTTGCTGCCACATACTCTTGGCCCCTGTTTCAACTTGATGTGAAGAATGCTTTCCTAAATTGAGATCTGCAAGAGGAAGTGTATATGGATCTTCCTGTTGGTTTCTACAGTGGTGCTGAAAAGGGAAAGGTATGCAGACTTAAGAAGTCACTTTATGGTTTAAAGCAGTCACCCAAAGCATGGTTTGACAGGTTCAAGAAGG